TGTGTATGCCATGTTTAGGAACTTCTTTAACTCCTTCTGAGAATGAGGGGAAGGCGTTGCTCTGATAGATTTGACCTTGTCTTCATCTGCCTCGATACCATGTCTGTGTACAAGAAACCCGAGGAACTTCCCGGCCGTTACCCCGAAAGCACATTTGAGAGGGTTCATCCTCATTTTGAATTTCTGGCACCTCTTGAATACCTTCTCAAGGTCTCGGAGATGGTCTTCTTCTTTCTTGGATTTCACCACTAGATCATCAACATAATCTTCCATCTCATGATGGATCATGTCATGAAAGATTGCAGTCATAGCCCTTTGGTAAGTTGCACCGACATTCTTGAGTCCGAAAGGCATGACTGTATAGAAGAAGTTTCCGAGAGGTGTTGTAAAAGCGGTCTTTTCTGCGTCCTCTTCAGCCATCTTAATCTGATTGTATCCACTGAATCCATCCATGAGTGAGAACATCTGGTGTCCCGAGGTAGTATCCATGAGGGTGTCGATGTGAGGAAGAGGGAATTCATCCTTCGGGCAAGATTTGTTCAAATCTCGAAAGTCTACACATACTCTGATTTGGCCATTCTTCTTCTTTACTGGCACGATGTTTGCTAACCACGTGGGGTACTGTATTGGCTGGATGAAACCAGCCTGTTGAAGTTTTTCAATCTCCTCCTTAATTTTCTCTTCGAGATCTGGATGATATTTTCGAGCAGCTTGCTTAATTGGCTTGGAGTTTGGGAACACATCAAGATAGTGGGAGACTAGGTCAGGATCTAGTCCGGGCATTTCCTTATATGACCAAGCAAACACATCTGAGTATCGGCTTATCAACTTTAACAACTGTTCCCGCTTCTCTGGGCTAAGGCTCGAACTTACGAATATCGGCCTCAGTGCATCTTGTCCATCACTCAGATCTATTTCAATAAGTTATTCAGGCTGAGGCTTCGGCCCATCTTGCATGTATTCTGGAGCTACTTCAAGCTTTATTACTATATCATTGTCAGGACGCTCTTCTTTTGACTCGGAGTCGGTGACTGAAGAAACCGACTCCCCGCACCTTCATAAATAGTACACCATCTTGCCTTATTCTCGGACTTTCATCACCTTCCGAGGAATAGGCGGACTTTCTGGTCTAGACATCGCCCCCTTACTTGATTCTGCTAGCAGCTCCTTGTCATCTTTGATATCCTCCCAACGAGGAATTTTGACCCCCTGAGGCTTAGAGGTGGTGGGAACTTCTTCGACAGCTAGTTCGGTGAAGTAGATGGCATCAGAATAATGAGCTTCATGGACCTCGAAAGGCCTTTCTATAGCCTGAATTGTCACCGTCTTCTTTCCCCATTTAGCCTTAACACACTGATGATAACTTGATGGTACAGCCCCATATCTATGCATCCAGGTCCTCCCTAGGATGATGTGGTAGTTTGCCTCGGAATCGATAATATGGAACTTGGTGGCCGAGCGAATCTCTCAGACGGCTAAATCAACTGTTACGCATCCGATAGTAACTCTTCTTTCTCCACCGAAGCCAGTGATGACTATCGGCTGCTTCACAATGCACTCTTCAGAGATTCCAGCCTTTTCTAGAGTAGCGCGAGTCATAATGTTGATAGAGGCTCCACTATCTAGAAAGGCCCTTTTGAACTCAACCCCGTTAATAAAAAATTATTGTCTTGTCGATCTTGTAGATGCTCGGAAGATAAATAGTGGATGCCCGATGCTTTGCCTTCGTCTTCGGCTGTTCAACGCGAACCACACGTCGCCCACTCAACGCGATGTGTGGTTTTGCCTAACACCATCCAGCTCGTTAGTCTCACAGCCCGGCGCTATTTTTCGTTTCTGTTCTTGCCTCCCTGGAAAGTCCAAGCTGGTCAAAGAACTGCTTGAACTTTACACAGTCTTGCAAGGTTTTGGCATAGTGATCCGGATCTTTTTCCACTCTTGGAGGCTTGTAATTAACCATCTCCTCGGTCTCTTCAAAATAAGATGCCACATAAACATGGTGTCCTCCTCTTCCGTAGTACTCTTCTCCTCCTTCTGGAGCAAAGGGATCTTCGCCATGAGTCATAAATGTTCTGCCCTCTGGATCGAGAGCACTTCCTTCCATAGTAAACTTGCTCACCCTCTGGCTCGAGGATGTCGTCCAGATAACAGTCATCGTCATCGAGATTAGCGATAGCCTCGATCATTGGGCCTTCATAAGCTATCATAGCAACATTCTTGCCCTTGTCTCGGTGCTGAGGATATGGTTGTTCTCGGATATCTTGAGTCCCTTAAAATTTTGAAAATTGTGATTTCAATTCCTCAACAAACAAAATTGAAAATTTCAATTTGATTCAAGTAGGTATGTATATACCAAGTTTCAACATAATCATGCATGCATATAAATACATGGAGGTTGCATTGCAGGTTATTATCATGAAACCCAAATAAAAAACATGCAATATACAAATTTGTTTTCATTTTTGACAAACAAAAGAGCATTAATTCACAAAAAAGCCAATACATATATAAGAGAGAGAGAGAGAGAGAGAGAGAGAGAATCATATAGGCACCAACTTACCACCTTGATTTGGAGAACAAAACTGAAAATGAAAAAGAAAAATATTTGGTGGTGTTGTTTAAAAAGGATCAAGTACAGACCAATGAGCTTGTTCCACGTGTGCGAGAGTACACATCACATCTGTAGGAAACGAGCGAGTTGGCTAGGGTTGACGACGCCTGGCAAGTGGGCCCCATCTGTCTTCAGTAGATCTGCTACTTCTACGTACCTCTCATACTTCTCCACCCGCGGCTCGGCTTTCCCTTTCTCTCTCTGGCTACAACTAGCCGCCGACTTCATCCTCCTCGACTCGGCTGACACAGCCACTGCCTCGGCTCGAGCCGGATCCCACTGCTGACCAAACAAAGTACCCTTGGTGAGAAACTCATGAGCTAATAGACTTCATTCCCTTTTATATTGATAAAGCCAGTTCGGTGAAGTAGATGGCATCAGAATAATGAGCTTCATGGACCTCGAAAGGCCTTTCTATAGCCTAAATTGTCACCGTCTTCTTTCCCCATTTAGCCTTAACACACTGATGATAACTTGATGGTACAGCCCTATATCTATGCATCCAGGTCCTCCCTAGAATGATGTGATAATTTGCCTCAGAATCGATAATATGGAACTTGGTGGCCGAGCGAATCTCTCCGACGGCTAAATCAACTGTTACGCATCCGATAGTAACTCTTCTTTCTCCACCGAAGCCAGTGATGACTATCGGCTGCTTCACAATGCGCTCTTTAGAGATTCCAGCCTTTTCTAGAGTAGCGCGAGTCATAATGTTGATAGAGGCTCCACTATCTAGAAAGGCCCTTTTGAACTCAACCCCGTTAATAAAAGCAGTCACATAAAGCGGGCGGTTGTGAGAAAAAGGATACTTCTGATCAGCCTTGGAGAAAGTAATGGCACTAGATTGCTCTTTTGCCTTCCTCGAGATAGATCCCTCAGTCAACATGCATTCCTCATGGTGTGCCTCGGCTATATTAATGATAGACTTGGTGATTTTTGTTCTTGCCTCCCTGGAAAGTCCAAGCTGGTCAAAGAACTGCTTGAACTTTACACAGTCTTGCAAGGTTTTGGCATAGTGATCCGGATCTTTTTCCACTCTTGGAGGCTCGTAATTAACCATCTCCTCGGTCTCTTCAAAATAAGATGCCACATAAACATGGTGTCCTCCTCTTCCGTAGTACTCTTCTCCTCCTTCTGGATCAAAGGGATCGTCAACATGAGTTGTAAAGGTTCTGCCCTCTAGATCGAGAGCACTTCTATAGTAAACTTGCTCACCCTCGGGCTCGAGGATGTCGTCCAAATAATAATCATCGTCATCGAGATTGGCGATAGCCTCGATCATCGGGCCTTCATAAGCTATCATAGCAATATTCTTTCCCTTGTCTCGGTGCTGAGGATATGGTTGTTCTCGGATGTCTTGAGTCCCTTGCTTTTTGAACCTCAATTCGTCTGCCTCGACTTTATCTCTGAAGATTTTCCTGAGAGTCCAACACTTCTCTGTCGGATGTTTCAATGTACGAAGGTAGACACAAAATTCAGGGCTCTCACGGTCCTTTTTTGATGGCATTTCTTCAACTTAAGGCAATTTTAGCTCTCCGTCAGCCACCCATTCCTTAACTAAAGCTTTTACCTCCTCGATTCCACATGGATAAGAAACATTCCCCTTTTCACCATTATATTGCTTCCTCTTCTGGCCTCTATGGCCTCCTCCTTGTGAATTTTGGGTATCTGGGACAGAGGCAGCAGCAACGATAGGTCCACGAGACGATTTGAAACTAGTCTTGTAACTGGCCTTAAATCCGGACTCCTGAGCCTGAGGAATGCTAATGTTCCGAGCTGCTTCTATTAATGCCGAGAAGGTGGGTAGCTTGTGATTAACTAGAAACATTTTGTACCTGCTCAATGCCCCTTCTAGACAGATTTGAACCAAATAACTCTTCTCCACTGCTTCATGGCAATCCGCGGCCTTGTCCTGAAACCTTTTGACGTAGTCAAGGATGTCTTCACTTTCCTGCTGCTTTTCTTTACACAATGTAAGTGTGGTCACCTTCTCCGCCACTTGAAAGAACTTAGAGTGGAATTTGTTAACCATTTCCTCCCAACTTCGGACAGAGTTTGGGGCCAAATTAACATACCACCTATATGCTCGGTCGGTGAAGGACTTAGAGAGTTCTCTCAGCCGGAGGACGTGGTTTGAACCATGAATACCCAGAGTCTCAATGAATCGCACAACATGTTCTCGAGCATTTCCTTGTTTGCCATCGAACTTGATGAATTTTAGCACTGTATACCCCTCAGGGTATGGATAGCTCAGCATCTCAATGGGGTAAGGCGGCTTGACGTCTGGATTAGGCAAAGAGGGTAAGGTCCTCTTGCCCCATTCGAGATTGAACATGGCCTGCACATCGGCGAGAGTAAGAAACTGTTGAGGCAAAGAGTTTGATGGTGGTATTCCCAGAACTTGGCTTATGGACCCGAAGACTAAGCTAGGGGCGACTTGGCCATTCTGGTGCTGCGAATTCATCATTGGTGAGGACATTTGACGATACTGGCCATCAGCGCCTATAGACAAGCCAATTGGTGATGGGACATTGAATTGAGGCCCGTAAAGTCCACCGCATGATACCGCTATACCGGGTTGTGCTTGTAAATTTGTTGTTGGCACCAAAGGAGGCCCGCCTGGTACTTGAGTAACATTTACTGGTGGCGTAACAAGATTAGGTACGGGCAGAGCTCCCTTTTGCGCCATCATGCTCCTCATGTTTTCCTGGACACCAACAGTCGCCGGAGCGCCATTCATTACACCAGAAACTCCCCTAGTCACCATTGGATCTTGGCTTGGCATGCCATGGAGCCCGAACATGGGCAAACTGTTGCCGCCTACTGCGGTTTGAGCATGTGTTACTGTGGCCGTGTTGCCATGAGCCATAGGCTGATTGGGGCCTACTTCTCCTTGGATTTGGTTTTGCGCTCCGGCGGGAATAACTCCACCACCCGTTTGATTTCCGTTTGGAGCCGGTGAAAAATTAGAACTCATCACCAACATGGTGTGAGTGAGATTCTGAAGAGTGGTAAGAATCTCCTGCTGAGTATTTTGACGTCCTTGAATGGCCTCAAGCAAAAGTGGTTGATCTGGAGCCATGGTTCTGTCATCACCACCATTAGAGGATCCTTGTTGGTGAACTTCATCTTCTCCCGCCATCCTTGTTGGAGTTGTGTGGATTCCAGATCT